TTTTAAATAGTTAAAATAACGAAATTATGTAATAAATGTAAACAATTTCTTAAAAGTAGAAAAACAATTATAACATAATATTGAAATTTAAATTAATTTAATATTTTACAAAATTAATAATGAAGTTATGTAATAATAGTATAAATTATTATTTTACGAATTATAAAATTCAATAAATAATTATAATTTTAAATTTTAAATAATTATATTATTTAAATAACTAAGAATTATTGTAAATAACTAATTTCACTTATATCAATTAACAATTAGAGAAAATAAATTTCAAAGAAAATTAATATTTATTAATAATAATTTTAAATTCTTAATCTATATTTATTATTAATTATATATACTAAAATTAATGTTTATTGTATTTTAGTAATTACTTGTTGTTTTTTGTGATAAACATATTTTCAATAATTTTGTATAAATTTATTTTTGTTTTGTTATTTAACAAAATTTTCACTAGAGATTACACTATTATTTGTGATTATACTATTTGTTGAATAATTTAGTACACTTTTTAGTATTTATTGTATTTTCTTTATCAATAAATTTTTAATAGTTGTGTATTTTTCGCTATAAATTTTCAATAACTATTTGATATTAAACTATTGTTATTTATTGGAGATTAAACTATTAATTTATCTAAAATTAGGAGTGTTCACTTCACAGGTTGGTTTGGTTCGGCTGTAGGCTGTTTGGCTAACCAAATCGATTTGGTCAGGTTGGAGAGTTGGTCACCCGAAACCAACTAACCATTTGTGAAAACCAGCCCACTCGGGTTGTATCAGTTTGGGTTGATTTTTTATTTGGTCGGTCGGTTCAAAAGATTTAAACTTAAAAAAAAAATAAATTAAAAAAATACAATGTTATTATTAAAAAGTAAATTTAAAATTTAAATTTATGATATAAAATATTTTAGACTAAGAAATATGAGAATTTTGCCACTTTCCCATATTAAAAAAATTATATTCAATATATATATATATGGTTAGGTCATTTGATTTTGATTAGTTTACAAATGGCCAAAGCGAAACTGATCCAACTTGATCGGGTTGGGAAATTATTGAACCAAAGCCGACTGTAAATGTTAGAAAGATGACCAACTCGAGTTGAATTGATCAAGTTTGTCAGTTTCATTAGTTTGATGAAATGGGCATATCCTCGAGATTGCCCAAGCAAAATGCTGATGGGCCTGGCCTGTAAATGACAATATGTTATTGTTGGTAACTCTAAAAGGGTTCAATGAGTGTTCCAACTTCAACAACCACAACAACCATACTTGCATTTTCCCATTTTGGAAATCATCTACTTGTAGAAAAGACTTGGGGCAATGTAACAAAATTTCCTACTTTTTTGATAATGGCCCACGGCCCACTACCAACCCATCAACTTGGCTTGTTGCTTTAGTTGTCCCCCTTGATTCTTTTGATCGAATTCCTCAAAGAATCCTAATACAAAAAACATAAACAAATAAATAAGACATTAATAAAAGAGTTTGACAATATAAGATTTTACCTAATCATATCTCACCATGGTTCTTTGGTTGGTTTAACTAAAGGGTTAACATTTTCGATGAAAGATGAGAGTGAGAGATAGTCACCGGTTAATTTGGGGAAAATCTATGATACAGAAAAGAGTTTTAACCAATCAAAATTCACCCATGAATTTTGATAAATAACACCATGTTCTCTACCACGTTTATGATTCTGATTTATTTATCAGTTAATTTTCAGATATTATATCTTTTCTATATCATAGTCAAACCCGGTTAATTTATTTAATCATCTATTTTTTATATGAATTCAATTATGATATCCGAAAAATAACTGACCAATAAATTATAATCAATGTGGTAGCGAATAAGGTGTTATACTGTTATTTATCAAAATTCATGAAAGCATTTTAATTTGTCAGAACTCTTACCATATCATATCAAATTAACTGAAACTTTTTATTTGATTTCATGGTTTGGTTCGGTTTTGAGATTTTTGATAAACACCCATAATTAAAAAAAAAAAATGCTTTTTATATGCTATGCCCCATACTAGATTCAAGCGTTGGTACTTGTAATTGGTTGGGAGGTCGTGGTCCGTGCGCACTTAACCGACCTACTTACCTACTCTTTGAAACTTGGGAAGATTAGATTAGACTAATCGCGAATTCGTGATTGTTAAGCCAATGTTTATCGTTGTGTGTGAGAGAGCGAGAGATCTCTCTACGTCGTTGATGGAGTGTTTTAAATTAAAAACCTTTCTTTAGTCAGTATTTAAAGCGCCGGAGATGGAGGTTTCAGGTTCGTCGCGAGCATCACGAAGATGAGGTCATGGCTTCAATCACTTAGGCTGTATTCTACGTCATGAAATGTTCTTGTTTTCATTAATTTGTTTCTGGAATTATCACGTCAAAACAAAAACTTGTTCATATTTATTTTGTTGTTTTGAAAACAAAAAACAAATTAATTTTGACATAATTCATATTTTTTAAACGTTCATGGGCCGGGCTTTCACCTGTTACCAACATGATATATTGAGGCCTGAATCCGAGTCTGGTTCGACCATTGGATGTAGATCTTAGGCCCAAGCCTGGCCCTCATAAAAGCCCCAGGCTCGAGCTGGAGCTGGAGCTGGAGCTGGAGCTGTTGCGAGTGAGAAACTTGGAGTCGTTTGCGGTTGCCAGAGTGTCGTTCTAGATGCTGCCAGAGCTGTTGCGAAGGAGAAACCTAGAGTTGTTTGTGGTTGTGGAGTGCCCTTGTAGATGTTGCTGAAGTTGTTGCAGAATGGGAATTAGGGATGCCACCTCTGGTGTGAATAGATAGAGATCAGGGAGAATCAAAGAGACCGAGAATGAGACCACGCTGCTCACTAGTCGCTAGTCGCTAGTCGCCGGAGAGATGATACTGTCCACTGCTCACAGGTCACCAACCGCTTGTGGAAGGAGATGATCCAACAAGCACCGCCGATGCTGATGTGCAAGAGAAGAAACTTCCAAGTTCTTGCAGGTTCGAACAGGTTGAGGGAGGGAGACTATCTAAGGAGAAGAATTAGGGTTAGGAAATAATATGTATATTATTAATTATTATATATATTAATATATAATATTGTTGGGTCGGTTCAGGCTTTTATGTGAAATCCGGAGCCTAGCCTGAAATTAAGTTGGGCTTAGATAATAGGGCCTGGGCCCGGGCCCTATTACAATTTTATAGTTTTTTTTTAATTAAAAAAATTATATATAGGACCATTTACAATTTTGGAAGTGACCAATTCAATGATTTTTGGTAAGAGATCAGGGCGTTTTCTGAAGCACCGATTTTTTTGATATGGTGACGTTTTCTCAAAAAACGGATCAATGCGTCATCGCCATAAAATATGCATAAAAGCTGGAATTACTTTACCAAATTTCAGGGCATGGTTGTTGACTAAGAAAATGGCAATGATACCAAAAATTCAGGTTGGGTCTAGGCCCAAAAATTCAGTCATTTTTATTTTATGGGCTAGACCCGGGCACAACTGCCCACCCGACTTACACCCCTACCCTAAAAGAAACTTTTATCAACTTCAAATGGAACAAATGGTTGAACCGTTAGAATTGAGAGCCAACACCATTTCTTTTTTGGGATTTTTAGACTGCATTCCCCCTTAGAATTCTGATTTAAACTGCAGACATATAACAATTCAAATTTATAAACAACTCCACCTATAACACCTATACCTGCCCATGAATTGGCATCAATTCCGAACTGACACCTACCCTGAACTGTAGGGTTGAGCTAAGACTGAAAACAGGGCCTTAGTAATGTCATTTAACTTAACAAAACATATATAATGTTCACAAAGTATCGATGCACTACAATTGTGTATTAAAGTATCGATATGATACTTTTAATATTGAGTATATTGTATCTGTAATACACTATGCATTTTGTAATGTATCTAAACCCCTCCATATCTTTTATTTGTATCTATATGTTTCCTAAAGAGTTTTGATCAATCAAAACCCACCCATGAATTTTGATAAATGATACCTTATTCGCCACCATGTTTTAGATTCGAATTTATTGGTGAGTTGTTTTTTGAATATCATATATTTTCCATATGATAGTCAAACCTGTTATCTAATACAAAACTAACCTAATAACACTCCGTTCTCTCCCTCGTTCGCTTCATCTCCCCTCCTCTTTTTAGACCAGTAAAAAATCCACTCTTTCTCTCGGTCACATAAAAAAAGTTATCTGATACAATACCCGATATATAACATTGACCCGATATATAACATTGACGTAGTGCTGATATTAAAAAAACATTTACAGTAATATTTGTGTGCTGATATTAAAAGAAACATTTACAGTAATATTTGTGTTTCAAAACATCTTCGGTATCAAACACAATCTAAATCAAATAAGTAATATAATATTTAATTTACTATTTAAATTGAAGGGAAAAGTATTATAACAATGATAAAGGAAATTTATCTCAATTATCTATCAATTACTAAAATCTAAAAGCATTATATAATGATAAAAAAAAACATTTCTCAAGATAAATTTAATTAGTTATTCAAATTAGAATTCAACCAATAAAAAATTCCACTTGAAAGTTCACGAGCCTAACTCAAACAAAAAAACATATTAATATTTGAAGCTTTCAAGCCAAGCTCGAACTTAATCGAATTGACCTCAAAAATAGAATTCAAATCAAACTTGAACCGAACCGGAATTCGGCTCAACTCGATTACACCCCTAAAAATCTTACATGTTCTTTTGATTTTCGTGGGCCCAGTGGGTAGGTGTAATCAATTGCAACCTGACTTTAGGCCCAGCCAGTATATATAAATATGTTATATTAAATTATATAAGTATGGTCCAGCCCGTTCCGGCCCATGCTCACTCGTACCAGTGGGTAGAGCCGAGGAGTTCATTTATAATTACAACGGTGGAATAATGATAAAAAGACAACAAAACCCCTCTTTTTCTTAAACAATGGAAAATAGCCCAAAAATAAAAATAAGATTTTTTTTTTCTCCTGAATATAGTTACAGACAGTATCTAGTATCTGCACTCCAAGCCCAAACAAAAAGTTTATTCACATTTCTACACTTGAGGTTTCTCCTGGGCCTGGGCTGGCATTGGAGGTGGAGGAGGCCCATATTGCTGTGGAGCTCCCATAGCTTGACTTCGGCCCCTGGCCCTCCCAAAAAGGTAGCAAGCAATAGCCAGTACCAGGCAGAAGAGTATCATCAATGGAAGTGATATGACCAACACGTAGCCCATCTTTAGCCTCCTCTACTGATTTTGTTGAGTTGAAATATTGAATACCCTTCAATTTCCAGCTTTCCTGCATTTATTAAAGATAAAAGCTCATTTTAACTGGAAAGCTGCTATTAGAAAGCTTAAGCACAACTCCTTTGAACTCATCCAGAGAAGCTCAGCTCATTTTCTGTTGCTCATTAATCTTATCAAAAGCCAACCAAGAGCCCATGAAGAAGAGGAAGAATAAGAAAGCAGGCATCCCACAGCTTTGAGGACTGCCTTCCTTCCTCCTCCAAAAAGCTCGTGTCTTGTCACTGTAAGTAAACAAGATGAGATTGTAAAAGGATAGGGCTGTGCTTGGTTTGATAGAAATTAAAATAAGGGAAAAACGGAAAGTTGAAAAAGAAAGTTCTTATTTTCTATCAAACCAAGGATAGCTGGTGTACCATGGAGATAAGAAGCCAGCCATGGCTATGAACACAGAGGTTTAATTTCATCCTCAAATCAATTCAGTTCTGTCTCGAACTGTGGGATCATAAAAGGAAGTTAGTCCCAGACTGGGCCGCAGGTTTCTGGTGAGAAGTCATCACCATATATTCTGCACCTGCAATTCGGTGGGACTGATAAAAGGCTATATATGAAGTGAAAATGCAGAGCATAGTCTAGTATAGTGCTCACTGCAATAATCACTACCATCCATAGAAAAGAAAACGCTACCAGAGTCCTCCGCTTTATGCGATCATAATTAAAACTTGTACAGTTGTACTCAGAATTCAATATAAACTCTAGTACCTACCTCGATAGAGACTACTTTCTACCGGCTTTCCAACTCAGAAGATGACCAGCAGCTGAAATGATCGTTGCATATCTGATCAAGAGCTGTGTGTGTGTGAGAGAGAGAGAGAGAGCCCATACCTTGATCCTCCTGAGAGAAGAAAACAAAACTCTGAAGCAATAAATTTGGTGACACTGAAAGATGAGAAGGTTCCACGTTTCAAGCTAAACCGACACGTTAATTAATTGCAGCAAGTGACCACTTGCTTTCTTCGAGTGGATGCTACAGAGACTCGTTTGAACTTTGAATCCCATTCGAGAAAATGACAAAAACAGTCAGAAGCAACCCTGTCTCTAGCTGAATGGTTTGAAGTATGAATGAAACCCAGATGTGGTGTCTAGATGCCTAACACATTTGGCCCCACCCACGTGATTCATCAGACGCATGGCAAACGTAAGGATATGAAGCTTTAGATCGAGCGGCGGGGGGATGGGGGCAGTGGGGGGTCCATAAACTTTACAGTGTAGAAATCTCCCGAGCTGAAGACGAGCAGAAGAAGAAGAAATGGGAAAACAATTTGCAGTTGCAGAATCCACACTTGGTAGGCGTGGGCGTTTATTGAGACCGATTTTCAAGAGAAAACGCCCATATTTCCAAGATTCGTTTTTCATAAAAAAATGCCATAATTTTGTTTGAGAGTATTTCTGCCACATAGGATACACGGAATAGTCATTCAATCAATCCTTGAGGGAAACAGTTCATCCATGCATGAAATGTCAAATTTGATGTTTCATGCATCATCGGGGTCCTGATTTACAAGGCATGCCTGTTTTTTCAATAAATGCATGAACCAAACAATAAAATATATGAACATTTGTTGAAACAGAAAAACGGCCACGATTCCAAACATCCCCAGGTATTTGTTTTGTGATGTGGGTGTTTATTTACTAAATGTTTGTAATTGATTTATTTGTAAAATAGATAAAAATAATAACAAATCTATTTATAACACTTAATTATCATTAAATATTATATCAATAAAACAGTAAATAAATGTCTACCAAAGAGTATTAATTTATTGTCTTTAAGTTATGCATTTAAATAATGTCTAAAAAGTAGGTAGGATCAAATCGACATCAACTTATCTGGAAAATTTGACTTTGACAAGGATTGAATTCATCAGAAGACGAGGTATCTAAGATTTTCATGGAAAATTTTCTAGTACAATCAATCGGTTACGCTACACAAAACGGGAGCTAGCACGTCATCAATTATTCATATCAATGATTATTGATCACTTTTAATTGAATCGGTGTCACCTCTATCCACTAACCAGTCTGCTACTTGGGCTGCGTTTGGGAGTGATTTTCCAATGGGCTTTTGTGTGAGAAACCAAAACCCAATAAAAAATGTTTGCTGAAAAAAGCTCTAAATGGGTTTTCGGCATTATAAAAGTATGAAAATATAGAAAAAAATTATTTATCTTTTCACGTTTTTAAAAAGCTACTTAGAAGAAAAAAGTCGGTGACCAGCCAAATACCATAAAAGCACTCTTTCAAAACAACTCATTTTATAAAATGAGAACTAATCAAGTAAAACTTAACCTTGTGCAAGAATGCAATATTTGTCAATGAGATACCAATCATAAAAGAGAAATGCAGATTTTTCAGACAATCGATTGAAAATTTCAAATCTCTGGAAATAGTCCGCATAGGAAATGTTGCATATTGCATGGGAACTTTGAATATTTCATCTTGCCAACCCAGTTGCAATAAAGCTCGCTCGAGTCTAGATACAAAATATCAACACAACCACAGATACAGTAGAGATTAAAGAAGCACAAGAAACCAAGGCTTTCCCTACCTTTTCTTCCAAACCAAATAAAAATAATAAAAAAAAACATCTACAAGTTCCCCTTCCCCTACCTTTCCCTTCTTTCTCTACTTCTCTTTCAAACCAAAAAACAGCCTAAGTGCAGAATCAGAAGCACACATCGTTCTTCTTCCAACGAGCAATGCAACAGAAGGGTCCTCTCCGGCTGTGCATGTGTTAAAAAGTTGCAACTAGTAAAAACGAAGAGCGAAAAAGTAAGGCTTCAAGTCGGAACTTTAATATTCTCAAAATTATTTTCCTCCAAAATATCTCCACCGTCCATTCATTTTCTTTTCCTTTTTTCCCCTTACCCACGTGATTTGGAATATCACCATCTGATAATAAAAAATGGTGACACACACTACAATCACAGCGGTAACTACAACAACATCAGGAACAATTACAACCAGCTTTCCACCTTTTCCTACCCATTTTCTTTTCCGCTGCAATTGCAGCTCCATAACTTTTACAATATGTATAAACAACATATATGGAAATGAAATTTGCAGCGAAGACTCTGTACACATGGAAGAGATATAGACACTTCCAAGAGGCGGAGGTGTTCATTACTCCGCAGGAGCCTTGTGAACTGATTTTCAAGGAAATGGAACAGTTACAAGGCATAAGAGGTTGGTATGGGAACCTTGCGCGACCCAGGACCACCTTCCATTGTTCCAACAGGTTTGTTAGAAAGCCTACGCTTGTAGCGCTTCAGGACCGATGCCAGATTCTCTTTACCTTTAGGGAAAGCCACATCACCGGCTGCAGTGCCCGATCGACCCTTGCGGGAGGAGACTGCAGTCTCAACATCCTTGATTAAATCAAGAAGCATTGATGCACTTGTGCATTTCGCCCTTCCTGGTTTCCCAGATGGGGGTAGCCCATTTGGGAGTGGAATGGACCTCCTTGCACGAGTTGCAGGAACTTGGAGGCAGAAACAAGGAGGCAGGGGAGTACGGGGCTTCGAAAATGCTAGATCAAGAATACCCTGTTGCAAATAAATTTCTAAATAAGAACTTCCAATGTCACAACTTACACACTGGTAGAAAAATCTGCAGGAAAGAATTAATGATGCACTTGTTAAACATGCTATAATAAGTGTCTTGAGCATAAGAGCTTTTTTAGCCACCACTCTGACAAATCCCTTTATGACACAAATCAACTAAACCAAGTTTATTGTAAATATCCTAGCAAGTGACAACCCACAACAGGACTACCGGGACACAGAACTTGTGTCCATCTTATCTAATCTACCACCTGCATCTGGGTAACTCATTTTTCATCAAATAAAATAACCTTTATCTTTATCAACAAGGAATATTTAAAATTCAAAATTCACTAGATATACCTGGAGACGATTAAGAACGTAAGTATATTTTCCCCATAGCTCTGGCCTGCTTTCCATTAATGACAACTCCAGTATCCTGTGAATGCACCACACCCCGAAGCTCACTACCAAATCCACTTTCCAAACACATCCCTCTCCACAATGAGGAACCGAGGAAACAAGAAACCTGGCGAGACCAGCCTCCTCATTCTTCAGTCCTGAACTGGTCTTCTTGTCAGAAGAAAAATATTGGGAGACCCCCAATATCTGGTTCACCTCCCTAGTTTCAGCTTCATAATGGAACCTCTCCCTGGTGGCAACACGATCAATCAGATCCTCATCGGCTCCATCGTTCTGCCTGAATAACCAATCAGATCCCTCCAGTTTCAAGAGCTTCACGATACAATATCTGAAAGACTGGAGCAGTTTGGCCTCCAAATCCAAAAGACAAGTTGTTTCTTGCTTAACCAGATTCTGTCTTGTTCCAACTCCATCACCCACACACTGAGTTTGACCTGCTACTCCAAATAATTGTTCAAAAGGCTGTCTAGACCAGAGTGACCTGGTGTCTGAATTTGGTCTCATGTTTACAGAGAGAGCATCTCTGTAGAACTTTGATGGAGAGAGTTCATCAAATGGCAAAGGGACTCCTGCCCTGGATCCACTATTTGAATATAGAGATTGTTCATATGTCGGTTTGCCAACAGATGGCCCAAAACCAATAGAGCTGTCCCAGGGAGAACTCTTCTCAGACAAATAGGAATCCCGAAGAGGAACTGCAAGCCCTGAAATGTCAGGTAAGCTATGGTACTTCTTTGTGTATGCTGAAGACCCAGCATTTTCAACAGGTCCATAAGAACAGGGATCATAACAAGGTCGTTCAGCTTGTAATGTACTACTTCTAGAGACAATTGGGTTCTGAATGCTGGATGAACTTAAAGAGCTAATCCCATTTTGTGGTTTTTTCCCCAAAGCAAAAGAAATTGAATCTCTGTAGTTGGTTGGGACAAAAGATGAGGATTTAGGGGTTGGTGGATCCAATGGAATACCTAGGAGATCAGCATTTCTCTCTGAAACCATCCTACTGAGATAGGACGCAACCTGATAACCATGCACTGTTGCAGGTTGATAATCCCAGCCCTCAGAAGAAGGTGGCAGGCGTAAGCTAGAGTATCGTCTCTCACCAGCATCAACAATGTTGCGACTGGAACTGTTTGTGTATGCATCCAACAACTGCATTTGAGTAGACCATGATCCAGAAGAACCTGTTTGAAGCCCACAAGATAATGCTACACTGCTTGGCATTCTCTGCTTCTTGGGGGAGTCATAAATACTTGAGTTTCTTTCTGCTAGAGGGAGGAATCCAGAACATTCATTTCCCAAAGGGTCTACCTTCTGAGAAACAGCAGGTTTCAGATCCAATAACAGCAATACATCCAATTTTTTGGACTTTGCTTCTTGAGTTACCTGCCCATGAAAATCATACAACTGACCCCAGAACTCATCGAGAATAGCAGCTAATTGGCGTCTGGCAGCTCGCCCCAATCCAGATAATCTTGAAAGACTCCCACCACCACTAATCCCTTCATCATTCTTCCCACTTAGACTCCTACAAGACCCAGAACCCTCAGAAGTTAAAGTGGGCCCACCTGCAGAGATTACTGTAGATGATTCTTCTGGCTCCCATGCTTCCCCCTCATCCTCATCCTTCTCAGTCTGCAACTCTCCCTCAAAATCAACAGTTTTTCCCACTGGGTCCACAGACTCAAACTTCTGTACAGATTCAGAATCCAGGGATCCACCATCAGAAACCTCACTACCTACAGTTGCAACCGGTGCCAACTCAACTGTGGACCCCGATTCCTCTGAATGGCGTATTGGGGAGCTAAGAACTGCAGTAGAAGTACATTTCTCCTCAATGGGAGTAGCATGAGGTTCCTGATCAGAATCCATAATCATTTCAGGCAAATCAACATCAAGTTCCATAGCTGAACCATCTGATCGACTCTCCAAAGATTTCTCAAATGCTGGCTCTTCAGCTGCAGTCTCCTCTCCATGGTAAGTAGTCCTAACTAAACCCATTTCCTCTCCCTCCATGAATAACTCAGGTCGAGAATATTGTAGATCCCACTTCCACATCTGTGCATCTGGATTAGCACTTGCAGACTTCAGTGGTGTTGTTGCCAGCCAAAGCATCATACAAAGTGACACAGAGGCAATGGCGAGAACAATAACATATGAGAATGCAATATTACTTCCCATGTTCCATCTCAAACTACCCACCCAGTCACTGTTCCCAAATACCACTTCCACAACAAAGATAATTTCTAAACCAAGCATACCAAAAAATGTCATCAAAGCTAAAAACTCCACAAATTGAGAGATTCTGAGAGCACCCATTATTGAACTTGATGAGGCCACCCGAAAAAGGGGAATCACAGAACATGGAAGTAGCATGGCTAGCATTACTTGAGCAAAAATAAGCAATTGATACATTCCCTCAGCACCAGAATTCCATGCGCAGTAAAGGGCTGGAACAATGGCAAAAGTCCTGATTGTTGCACGATGGAGCCAAACAGGTAGGTCCACTGTGAATAAATAATGCAAGACTACTTGCCCACCAAGATTCCAAGTTAATGCTGTAATATGACTAGAAAAGAAAAGGATCAGAAACAAGGCAAAAGGTGCCATAGGGCTCCTAAATACCTGCAAAATAATTAAAAGAAAAATATCAATCAATAGGCACTTACAGACTAAACAGCTTGTAAAGGACAATAAAATACAAATGTGTCATTCACGGTCCCTTAAATGACTACATATGCCAACTTGTTTTTTTTTGATAGATTACATACGCCAACTTGTTAAAGAAATATGAAACGTACCTGGTCCATAAGCAAAAGTGCATCCTGAAAAGTAAGCACAACAGCACCAGCATTGTGAAAAACGGTTGCTGCAGAGTTCATCAAAACATAGTTCACCAGAAAAATGCCACTGAACACACATAATATGGCAAAAAAATGGTCATTGCATAAGGCATTCTTTGATGCATGTGATGGTTTCTGCAGTTGCTGTTGCTGCATAAAATAGAAATATATGTCAAAATTTAGATTGGGCAGCAAATTTGTCATCTGATGATGATGGTGATATATATTAGAAAATGCACAATGATTGCACACATGAGAACGCAGATGCAGACATGGGGAATTGCTTAATAAAGTAAGCTCCAGACTACAGGATAAGACACTCTAGTAGCCATACTATAGGGAAGCTGGGTGGAAATCTACTTCAAGCCATTTCCAAACTGGGATCATTCAACTCAGTTGTTGACCTGATCACTGTTTAAGAGTATGCCCACTTGATCATGACATCAAAGGACTTCAAAGTAGGACTGGACAATAGACCATGCCAGCTCAGCCCTACCCCATACTGTTTCAGGTTCTGTTTGGAGTCATAATTTGACTATTTTTTAAATTCGGTGGTGTGATGTGAAGCGTTCCATTACCTGGAGGTGTGAGAAGTAGTACAGAACATAAGCGGCGTAAACCTCCCAAGCACATGCCTCCTTAAGAGGAGGGGGAGGAGGAAGAAGAAGAGGAAGGAAGATCTCATCTTTTTTTTAATGAAAGATGTCTTATATTAAGAAGAATGAAGATGCGTAACACTAGCTGAAAGGGGGGATCTTGTCAAACTAGTGTAAGGGCACATGCTATCCACGTATTCAAGTAAAAGGTAAATATAAGTTCACACTTCACATTATATAATCAAATTTAACTTTTATGATCTGCACCAAAACCAAGGCAAGTATTCACTTTATATAGTATAAATGTAGGATATCTAAGAGAAATTTCTACGAATCAGATATGTGACAATCTAAATGGAGAAGCAGCAACTACATTTCTTTGTAAGTAAAAAAGGAAAATTTTATTAAGAAAAGAAAAGGCTGAATACAACCAAATGAGAGGTGTTAAGATAGCACCCCACAATCACAACAGAAAAACTCCCACCCATACTTGAACAAACTTCAGAAAAAGAAGCTCAAAATAAATCAATTTTGCACAAATACATCAGCAACCTCATTTTTAGATTATAAAGTACACCAATGAAGGTTGCGAAAAAGTGAATTTAGGGTGGTTATACTACGTTCAGTAAAGAGATTGGTGGGTTTAGGATGGAGAAAAGGTGGACTTTTAAAGGTTCTTGTGCATGGACGAAAACCAATTACCAACATAACCTGAAATATTCCTACAAAGTGTGAGGTACAACAGGGAGAAGTGCAAGGTGTTTCTGGTCACAGCATATGACCACAAGGCACAACTTCAAATTGTATTCATATTCATATTCCATCTCTCAGGCAAAGCCTTACAAAGGTTTATTAAGCCCTAGGGTGGGCCAGGCCTAGGTTTTTCTTACTAGACTCAAATTCAAACACTTAATGACCAAGAAGTGGATTACTTAATCAAAGCAAAAAAAATGGATTCTTTAACATCCAAGAACTTCTAGTCACACAAACTCTTTAAAATAAGAAGCACTTCCTAACCTAATCTAAGTAAACTAGATATTACTAAAACTAGGAACTTGTGGGCTCCACTTTTCATTAAGGTTCAAAGTATCAATTCTCTCGATGCAAAAAGTGTAACATATCAACAGTTTTGACCAATCAAAACTTTTTTTTTCAATTTTTGACTTGACAGTTTCATAGTGGAATTGTCATGTGATATATTAGGCTGAGTACAATTGTACAAATACAAATATGTACAGTGCAAATACATACAAAATACAAGGTTTTGCACTCTACATATTTGTATTTGCACACTTCCCAAATGGAGCCTTATATTATTTAAAACAATTGGAATCAATGAAATTTTAATATACAACATATTATGAGGTCAAAAATCGATATGTATCTACACACTGATACATTTCAATATTTTGAACCTTGCTTTTCATATACTTCTCAAAATCTGAAAATTTCTTTCTCCATGATTTCTCTTCAATTCCAGTTCTTGCACTCTCCTAGTTCAAAAAAAAAATTCCCCCTTAAGTATTATAGTGAGGATGGATGAATTAGGGATCTAGAACTCAAGTATAAAGCATGGTATGACTATCCTCACTGGGAACAAAGTTAATCTTCAAAAACTATGCAAGGCTTCTCAACTTCACATTAATAGGAATCACCAACTCTGTCTTGAAGCTTTTCTTAATCTGCAACAAAACCTTTAAATACACTGTGTGGCTAAATAATATATTTTCTCTGAATGCTTTTTTTATGAATATTTTCTCTGAATGCTTGAGCTACACCTTCTGGAACCTTTTTTTAGTTCATGATAAACATTAAGTCTCAAGTGGTTGTATAGCTAAGTTTTAGCTTTCTAGAGATCTGTTATTTTTGTAGAAGTCTATTTTTTTGGTAATTACTATAAGTATAATTACAATTTACAGTAACTTTAACTTTCTATTTATAATAATTCATGTAATTAATATTTACAATTACATCAGTAATTTCTTGTTTCTTTGAATTAGGTAGGGATTAGTTATTACTTGCTTTACAGAGTTTGTTTGAGATTAGAAGTTCTTCCATAAGTAATCCTTTGTGTACATCTGTCCCTCCCCAAGGCATTAGTGGGAGACTGATGCACTGGGCTGCCCTTAAGGAAAGCCTATGATTTGCCTACCCTAAAGCTTTATAAATCTATCATAAAGCTTTAAATAAAGAGATAAAATGAATATGAATTTGATTTGAAGTTGTGCCTTGTGAGGTACAATATCCCCCAGTCTCCCTTTCATCCTCCTACCACCTTTCAGCTTGCGTGGTATAACCAAATGCACCTTGTAGTCTCCACATTGTATTTTTTTATCAGAAACGGTGTCTCTGTATTTATCTTCAAAAGAAATGGTGTCTCCACATTGTACTTCATAGTTCATACCTTATAAAGCTGTTTCAGATTGCACTTTAGGTTACTAAAGATGAAACACCAGCAATTGTTTTTCTCTCATACCTACACGCTTTCAGAACTTCACTTTGTCTCCATCCTAAACCTACCAATCTCTTACCTAAACATGCTACAGCCATCCTAAATCAATTCTCAACCATTTATCTCCCTATCATCAGTCACATAGACAAGTTTTACTAAAAATAATAAATTGCAGTTTTACAATAAATAGTAATTATGGGAAGCATTATGAATATAAAATAAAAATAGTACATTTTTAAAAGATTGAAACTTCACACTACAACCACCTAACATCTTCCAATAAACTTCCCTTTATGGATTGCTGAACCTGTGGGCCACATTAAAGCCTTTTACTGGCCCCACGATGAAAGAAATCCCAAGGTTCATCAATCCATAATGGAAATTAGGATTTCTTTCATCATGGGGCAATAAAGTTTGTTGCAGACTGTTGTGAGTGCAATGAAGCTTGTTGGGTCCTCATGGATATAGTGTAAGAGTTTAGTTGCTGCCATGTTATAATCTTCAAGTTGCCCTATCTGAGAGAAGCTCTGGAAGATCAGTTGGTCATGTTGCTACCCAGGTTACATTGTTTCTTTCCAGGCAAGTCAGCTAGTGCTAGGGGAAGTGTTAGAGCATTTAGTTTTTAAGGAATTCGGATTAGCTAAACGATTTAGCTGTTCAGCGGGATGTGGTACCAATGATGAGGTTCCACACCAGTAATAAATTCATGGGCCCCACTGTAAAAGGTGTGGACCCAAGTATTTTATTACTGGCGTGGAACCTTATCATTGGTTCCACAGCCCGCTGAACAGCCAAAGCATTCAGCTAAACCTTACTCGTTTTTAAGGTGTATGAGGAATGGGGTTTTTACTTTTTTTTTTTCTTTTTCTTTTATCAATAACTGCAATCAATCTATACTACTATCAAAAGTGCAAATGAGAGTGTGAAACTTTTGTTTGACTAAAATACCCCAATTTTTGAATTTCATTCCTCTTTTAAGGACAGAAATGTAATTTAAACAACCGCTTTTCTCCTCATTCAAATCCCTTGCATTAAGTCTTATATTAAAGGTATTAACTTCCATTAACATTCATTGAATGATATTCATGGCTAGAATAACCCTATTTTTGAATTTGGTCTTTCTCTAATTGTGAGGGCACAAAATATAATTTGAATTACTACATTTCTCCTCATTCAATTCCCTCTCATTAAGTCTTATATCTAGGGTATACTCACATTCTTTCATTGAATCTTATATTAATTGACCATATTAAAAAAATAAGTGTGACAAAGAATAATTGTTTTATTGATGATGATTGAAATAAAACATAAATTTAAAACCAACCCAAAAATGGAGTTGTTTTCATGTTTGGTGGCGAGTCAACAATTCAACCTTTTGGGTCAAATGTGTAAGCCCTCGATGTCATAATTAAATAATAATAAAATTAAAAAATATGAAAACACACAAAAGTACAAAAAATACAAAAAAAAAAATTGTATAAAAATTTGACATATCTCTAATATCATATATTCACCATATTAAACAAAAATAAGTGTGATAAATAAGAATAATTTTTATAGACATAGAAATATAAAAAAATTGTAAAAATATTTGGAAGCATATTACTTACTATCATCATAATCCTCAAAAATTGCCACGTGCAAAGCACATGTACACTTACTAGTTTTATCATATTTGTAAAGAATAAAAAAGTACAAGGAATGGGGTTCTATTAAGATACAATGTTGTTAAAATTGTATGACTTGTGATTTAAATGGTACGATTCATATCAAGTCATCCATAAACGATATGAATCGTACATACAAATTGATTTTTGCAAAAATCGTACGATTTATGCATGAATCATAGATTTTGAATCACAAATCATGATTTATACGATAACTAAAGAGTGGATTAAAATTGAAAAGACTGTCATAGGCTTCAATTTTTTAAACTTTCATTTATATGGGGAGGGGCAATTATGTCATTTTATATAAATAGTAGATAAAATTCAATAGTCCATCAAATGAAAGCTCTTTATTAGTTTATTACAAAAGAAAAGTTTGGGCGGGAGGAAAAACCCTCCTCCATGACTGTTGCATGAAAGCTCAAGGCTAAAACCCCCTCCATGACTGTTGCTGAGTTGCATGAAAGCTCCAAAGCTAAGTTGTTTCGATTGCTGCTAATCTGTTCAAGGTAAGTTATTTCTTCTTCTTCTTCTTCTTCTTCTTCTTCCCCCTAATACCTGAAACCCTCTTCTTTTAATGCAAGAACGGGTTCTCTGCCCATTTTTTTCTACTTTTTTTTACACAAAAGAGGGCTCCGGCCTTCATTATCCCCACTTACTTTACTTTTTTCTCAAAAAAAAAATCATCCTATTTTTATACCATTTTTCTCCGTTGTTTTTAACAAAAAAAACAGGGGCTCCGCCCAGCTATTTTCACCCTCTAGTTTTGATGCATAATGGAGGTTTTTCCTCATTTTTTTCTATCATTTTTGGCACAAAACTAGAGGGTGAAAATAGCTGGGCACAAAACTAGAGGGGGAAAATACTAGTATTTTCCATCAAAACAGGGGCTCCACCCTAGTATTTTCCCCCTCTTTTTTTAATGCAAAACAAGATCTCTTTCCCACATTTTCCTATTCTTTTTGATACAAAAACAGGGGCTTTGCACAACCATTTCCCCCTCTTTTTCTCTTGATGCAAAATAGGTGCTCCTCCCCATTTTTTTCCATCGTTTTGGCCCCATATTTTTTTTTTTTCCTTTCATTCTTGTTTTTGTATTTTGTTTCCATGAAAACAGAATACCGAATATGTATTTAGATTTTAGACTTTAAAATTAAAATGTATACATGAACCATGACATCTTAGTTTAGACTTTAGATTCTTTAATTGTATATAATATTTATTTGTAGTATTGTACTGAAATGTGTAGTTTAAAATTTGAATTATTTTGCTCTTGGATCTTTGTAGGCTCTATGTAACCTAGTAGTCTCTTATTTTAAGATTTTTTATGATGCATGTTTGATTTTAACAATTTTAGCAATAGAAACTAGAGAACATTATGGTTTTTTTCTTTAAAAGCGTTGGGGGATAAGGATAAACCAAAGCAAAATGTTCCTCAATTATACCATAGGATCAATTGACTTTTGACTACTGCTATGATATGAAAGTAGTGTAATTGTCACTAATATTACCTACTTATATAATGTGTTAAGCTAAAAGTTAGTGCAGAATCATTTTTCTTCTATTTTTTGAGATGTTTAGATATTTTGTTAGGTTTTTTACAACTTTCAGAAAAATCAGAAAAAATCTTACAATTTATGATATGATTCGATTCAAACTCCTTTACGATTTATGATACAATTACAATTTTCAAAACATTGATTAGGAATAAAACTTACTTTTAAGGACTTCAACATAATATCATCCCCATTATGGGTCTTTCTTATAATTTTTGAATAATTTAGATGTTAGACCGATGACCTCTACTCTCCTTTCTTCTCCTCTATCTTCTCTTCTTCATCACATTATTCATAACAAAATCAGACAAATACAAAGGCCATAAACCAATGTTGGTCCAAACTACTTGGGGTCTTGGGAAGGGTGGACTGGATTGAAATGCCAATCAGACAAATATGACCAAATAAATGACAGGCAAAAAGTTCAATTTCTGCAATTATTCAATTTTTCCTTAATATACTACAACCTTTCTTTTTATACCACAATAATTTGTTTAATTGTTTTCAAGAAATCTAAATATGCTAATCAAATAATACGGGGAAAAAAGGTTCCAAAGAGGTCTGATTATCCAAATATGGACTTTAGAGAATGAGGAACAATACATTCAGAGATCTAAATATGATACCGAGAAGCAAAACCCCAAGACATTATGAATTCTGCAGCGCCCAATTATAATATGAAACAAGGACAAGACAGAATGAAGTGCCCCAAGTGGAATTTAGCTGATAAATAGACTGTATACATTTTTACACATTGTATAGGTATTAGGTTAACATCAACAGGGTTTAAAAGTGTATTCTCCTTGCATCAGAATTCAGAAAAGCAATAAACCTAAGTAATGTGCAAAAATTAATGTAGCAATATGAACAAAGGCAAGCCAAAATATAGTCAGACATCCCAATCACATTCGAATTTAGCTGCTAAAGAGACTATACATATTTTTGCACATTGTATAGATATTAACATCAACAAGGCAGCAAAGCAGATCGCCCATGCATCAGAAAAGCAGTAAATTTAAGAAAAAACATTTTAGATTGAAGGCTTCTGACATTAAAGTGTTGCCAGATCCCAAAACAACAAGCCAAAGATATAATCAAGCAAAAAAAAAATCAAGCAAATGCCCCATATGAGGTTGCTAATTCAATCAATCTGTGTAATAGCAATTCCATGACTGAAAATTAGACAGGAGAAATGTACACATGAAATAGAAAAAGAAAATGGCAAAAGATGCAGAATCAGAAGTACCTGAACAATAGAAGAGTGGAGGTAAAAATTGTGAGGCATAATAGCTGATCCAAGAAGACTCATCAATGTAAATGCACTCTCCCCATTTAACCTCGTTAGCATCCCATTTATGCCAAATGGGATTTCAGGTTGACTGAAAAGCATTCCCAGAATATAAGAAAGCAGTATAAATCCTGCTATGCTTATATATGGGACTTTTTCCTTGCATTTCTCCTGAAATTGAGCACAAGAAATGAGAATAATGGTACTAGAATGAGATTATTCACTAGAGGTGACATCAGAAGGCAATGTATTTATACATGCTTACCATGATGGTGGCAAAAATTGGAAAGAAAACAGCATCAAGTGCAGTCAAAAAGACACAAGTGAACAGATCCACCCCAAAAAGGAGATTGAGGGAATGTGCAATGCCCAGAATCTGGCATAATCCAGGTGAATATGTGTTAGAGATTATTCAAAAATGATAAACCATATATCTCACAGATTTTGTCTTGTTTTTCTATTTCAACTATATTCTTGGAGAAACCATAAGAAAAAGATGGTTAATGGAGAAAAAAAGAAAGAAATAAAAATATAAGCAGAGACGATACCATAGTCAGGTCCAAAGCTATAATAGAGAGCTCTGCTTGAACTCCAAGAAATATGCATATGGATTTATTGTACTCCTCACTGCAAATCTTTTGCATCAAAAGAAAAAAACTTAAATTAAGAATCAAAAAAAACAAGAAACAAGATAAGAATGCAAGCAAGTACACAAACAGAAAAGAAAACGAAGGCACATATCAACTGCCATGAAAAGGAACTCAAAGGCTGTTTTTGGAGAGTTCATGGGAGGGAAGTTCAAATTCAATGAAAAATGGAAGAGTCCACCCCCCCTTCTCTTGCAGCCTGCCATCATAACAAACTGAGGGTCCGTTTGGTTAGCGGGAATAGGGGTTGGGAATCGGAATAAGAATGGTCCATTCCAATTCTAACCATTTGGTTGGGTGGAATTGGAATCCGATTCCCATTCCTGGTGGAATGGCATTCCCCCATTTGAGGGAATGGCCATTCCTTCCCCCTCCCTTGGGAACGAGAATCCATTCCAGCCAATTCCGATTCCCGTCTGAACCAAACAGGCGGAGGGAATAGACCATTCCAATTCCAATTCCGAGGGATTTCAATTTCGATTCTGACTGCAAACCAAATGGACTCTCAAAGGCTGTTTCTGAACGGTTCATGGGACAGAAGTTCAAATTCAACGAACATGGGTAAGAGTAGCCCCTCCACCCCCTTTTCATGGATTAAAAAATCTGCTAAAACAGGAGAAAACAAAGAAAGAATCCACTTCTCTCCAGATTACACTTGGATCTTTTTCTCGAGCCAAACGGTGAAATCCATGAAGTAACATATTCACATATCCTTTCCCCTACTGCTTTTCCATTTCTGCCTCAATACAAAAACAGCCTTTGTTGCATATACAAATTTGAAATAACAGCAATGGTTAATCTCCAAAACAAGAATCAACATAATGACCAAAATCTCCAAGGCACCAGAGTTGCTGTGGAAATTAAAAAGGGTGAAAAGGTAACCAGACTTATTTACCCATGCCCAACAAGAATACCCTAGTATAATTTTAAGCTCTTATAGAATCTTCTGGGAGGGCAAAGAAAGGAACTACAGAGAAGCAATTTATATACATGCATAGACTTAGGAAGTCAGAAGTCCATAAGAAATCTGATTACTCACAAAATACCTAAAATTGAAATATCACCAGGCCTTTTATAAACACGTGAATCATAACCCAAGAAAAGAATATTCAAATAACATCTTCTCAAGTGTAATGAAGTGACTAGCATATCCTGAAGCCCATGGAAAATAAATAATACCTGTGCAAGATTCTTCCCAGTGACTAAACCAATGCAAGCTGCAAGATACTGGCACAGAATTGCAGCAAAATTGAAAACAAGCATCTGCAATACAAGATCAGAACCAAAATGGGCACCACCTTCAACAGCTGATGCCCACTTTCCAGGGTCAATATATCCCATAGAGATTAGAAGCATGGGTCCAACAGCAGGGAATAGCCGAAAAGCAACATCCTTCATCTGGTTAATACCAGTTGGATCAGCTTCCATATCTCTCATTCAGTTCTAGGTAAAGATCAGTCCAATACTTGAATATGCACTTCTAGATGCTTGAAGAAACTTCCAGCAGTGATCAAACTAAGTCAGACAGTCTCCTGTAACAATGTTCACTGTTCAAATTCTTCCTTTGCAAGATTGCTGCATGGCATCCCTTTACAAGTTACCCAATAGGACATTTGTGACTTCAATGGTCAATCATCTTCAAATGTAGTCATTCTAAGGACTGACTGAGATAGCTTATCTTCAGCAAGAATAAGCATTTATATATCCATAGATTTCATGATGACTGAAAATGTAAGTCTAATGGGTCTTTGTAGTGTACTCACAAAACTCAAATCCCACAGCTTCTTTTTGAAACACATTTACTTGCATGATAACATGTTAGTGAAACATCATAGTTGTCATCTTTCTGCTTCTTAATTTTTCCATGACCTGAAGGTTCATCCAAAAGGAGTAAAGTCCTAGTTATAATTTGAAATCCAAGGTGTCCTTCTAAAGCCAGTTTTATCTTAAAGCTTACAGACAACAAGCAAGTCTAACTATCAGAATCTTTCTCCAGTATCCCATGAAACATAATCCAATTCAAGGTTGTAGCCACAAACGCATCCCCACCTGAGGCAACCTGTAGCACCAAATCATAGGTTAAAAACCTCACTATCGTTATTAAAAACAATAGGAGATACATTAAAAAAATGTAAGATTTTATGCATCTTCCGAGCATAGGACCTCCAACTCATTAAAAACAGCACAATACTTTTGATGGTCAACTCATGCTAGAAGTATTAAGTTAGAAACATCTACAACCCTATAAAGACCCAGTAAAGTCTTGAGTTATGTGAAATAAATCAATCCAATATGAAGAAAACCACATCATCATAAATATTAGAGTTCAGTATTAAGCCCAAAAAAAAGAAAAAAAAATAGAAAATTCCATGGGGTTGCATACAAGCAGCCAATTTCACTGTGCATACATAGATCAACATAAACGAACAATATCAGGGTTGTCAGTCAATTTACCTCACTACTCTCTATAATAGAATAATACCTAAAACGGATCAAGAAGGAAGAGGTTACAATCAGGCAAGAGTTCATGGTTTTCTAACAGGAAGAAATTTGAGCTCACATACTAAACCACGCAAAGAAGGAGAAGATCTAATGTGTATTGAGTCTGAAGGCAACAACTTTATGAATGATAAATGGTACAAAGACAAAAAAAGAAGATAAATTATAAGGATAAATACATGAAAAAATTCAGGTAGCATTTCTGGATGCTTTAATGCCCCCCTCTTAGAATAAGACACTTAAAACAAATCGGGGAATTATTGTTACAGGCTTACAGCTCAAGAAAATGAGTTGCCCATCTAAGACAGTGCTTGCTGACAAAAACCAAGAAAAAAAATATATCTATATAAAATCTCAAAACCCAGACAAGTAAAACGAAAGTTCCCTAAGGTTTCATACTACAAAAGCCTAGTCAGATCTTCCCACTGCCTACAACAATCCACAGACTCCACACACCACTCATGTAACAGCAAAGAAAAGGAAAGAAATCCTTTTACCTAGCAAGAAACCCTAATCCCCGAAAGAGGAAAACAGAAACCCCTGACAAACCCTACAGGATGAGAGGAGCATAGGAGTCCACTCCAGGCAATCCAAACTTGAAGCCATTAATAGCAAAAGAGAAGACATGACTGACACATCTACTTCCACGGATCTGATGCTGCTGAAGGTCAAATTAATAAATGAACAAGCAAGAAACGAGGGGCCATTCCAGAGGTAAGAAACGTAATTCCCAAGGTTTCGTATTGGTTCCTCCATGAAAAAAAATAAAACCGTCAAATTTAAGGCCGCAAACTCCTTACCTTTTAGGGTTTCCTTTGTTTCTCTGCAAATTCTACTGTAAGTAGAGAAAAGCAGAGACCTTAGAGAACTAGAGATATGGATGGAGAGAGAGAATTTTGTTTGTTTGTTTGTTTGATAGCTTGGGGAGAGTAAAAAGGAGTTAAAGAGGAACCCAAGCCCCCTGGAGAGAGAGAGAGAGAGAGAGAGAGAGAGAGAGAGATGCTAGTGGAAACTGGAGTCTGGAAGATGCAAGAAAAGGGGGTCAAAATGGTTAAAACTCGAAGCCCAGAAGCTTTAGAAGGCGGTTAACGTTTTCTCTATTTTTACTTTTTATTTCTGTTTTTCTACTTTTTTTTTGGTTTAGAGGTGATAAGATCTCCCTCTTATTTCGGATTTCGGACAAGCAGATAAATGCTCTGAAAACGAAAACGATTTGGTGACCAACGGAATGCTTACAAAACCTCATCCTTACCACCGGTTCCGTTAAACCCCCCCCCCCAGCTTACTTGGAACTTGGAACAGCCGATTGTCCATTCCACCACCTCCACGTGTTGCGATCTCAACGGCGGTGACCTAATTCTTGTCCTCGCCTTAAATTACCATCTCACCTCCCTTCCGTTTTCGGTTGATACGTGTTATGACGAGATTGTCCTCCACTCGTTCTTCTCTATGAACCATGGAATAATCATGATTTGGAGAGGGCACACGAGGGGTAGTATTGGTACTTGGTACGACTGCGGTAGTACACTAGTAGTACCTACCACCCTCTTTCACTGCTTTCTTTTTCTTTTTCTCTTTTACCCTTTTTTATTTCTATCATTTTGGTGAAAGTGGCATCATCACCGTAGGGTTGACCAACACTCAGAATCGTCGTGCCACGTCACTTCTTCTTCACCTGATCTTCACGTGATGAAAAAAAAGGGCATCGATGTGGCCACGTCACCTCGTCTTCAAGTTCGGGTTGGACCCAGAGATTGAACCGATAAGCCAATTAGTGAATGACAATTCCGGGTTTTCGTCCGGTCCACTGTCGCCACCAGAGAGCTTTCAGGCTTTCTGAACTTATCCAACGCTACAGCGCTTATATAGATATTTTATTTACTTGTCAATTTTCAGCCAACGAACCTTGTCACATCTCAAGAGAGCCATCTGATCCACTTGCGTTTGTTTGGTTAGATTAAAATATAATATAAAAATAGAAAGGGGAGATGTGATGTGAATGAGAGAATTGTGCGCAGGAGATACGTGATCCAAGTTTGCCACGTCATCTTCTCTTTTTACATGGGAAAACTGAAATCATTTCCCGAGAAACAAGAAAAAGAAACGAATTTCACTTTTCAGCCACTTGGGAAAAATGGTAGCCCCCCAGCTCCCCAAACAAACAAACCAGCATTATATGGAGGACCCCACGTGAGCTTTTTGGTAGGGTTAGTGGGATCATACGTGTTATCCGCCGAAACTGGGTATGGGTGTGGTCAGCGTAGGCTGAGCTGAGTGGCTGACTACTCCATCCTGTGGAGATTCTTTGCAATCGTGGGACCCACTAGAATTGACAGAATATTCCAAATTTATGGTGTGTGATGCAGTTGTATCACACTACAAATATATTATAACTAAAAAAAATGGTATAGCATCATAGCTCATGCGTCAGGTATGTCAGAGTATGTATATATAAATTGTGGGCCCATATAGTACGACAGCCATGGGCCTAAGTTTTGTTTGTCTATTTCTATAGTCTGGACCGGGCGTAATTTGGTGGCGGTATGCTCCAGCCAAATGGGCCGTGGAGTGGTTGGCCTGGTGGCCCTTTGTGACCTTAGAGGGCACTAGGTGCAATGCTTCTGCCTTCTGGCGCTATAATGTTTTGTTTTGCCAGATACTATGACTATGCAAAGTAGCTAGATTTCAGTGGGAAAGTGTCAGGAAAAAGGTAGAAAATGGGATGTCGCGTTGTTTCTCTTGCCAACAGAGGACGATGGACAAATTTATTTCCCTGTAAAATCATTTCATCCAAACACATGGGCAAAAGGGAACTGTTCAGATTCAGAGGATTTTGATAAAAAAGGTTATGGCGGTGCTTTGGCATGTCCTTCCATGTGGTTTTCTAAGGATTCAATAAGTTTGGTAAGTAAACGTTGCAAATACAAGATGATGTGTGCGTGGAAAGACCCGCGCAAGAAGCTTTAAATGAATCTTTTCTGGTATAAATAGCATTTAAATGCATTTTTAGAAGTCTGGTAGATCAAGTGGGTGTTTGGCATCGATGCCGTTTTTTGAGAAAACGGTGGTACATTAGAGAAAGCAGTGCTTCAAATAACGTCATTTTTGTTGATACCATTTTTTCAGAAAAAAAAAATGTTACTCTAAACCACGCCTTGGAAATCGAGAAAGTGTGGTCTGGAGTAATGTCAAATTTAATGTTTTTTGAGAAAACGATTTATTGTTGTCATCGATGTAATGATGTAGCATCATTTTGGATGTTGGATAATATAGAGCATGTTGAAAACATTGCTGCCAACACTGATACTAAACAAAACCAATGTTGTTTTCTCAAAAAATAGCCTATGTGTGGTAGTATCGATTCCAAACAAAAAATAAGCGGGTCTAGATATGCTCCTCACACTGACCTTGCAATATGTCTTGGCCGCACATCGAGAACATCTCCCATACTTGTATTTATTATTCATGGGGAGATGTTCTAAATACACGATAGGATGCAACTATGAGGTATATAAAGAACATATCCCAATTCAAAATAAGCACCATTTTCTTAGAAAATGGTGCAATATTCCCAACACCGATACTAAACACCTACCAAGCCACTTAACAGTCTTTATTTCTAAAGACTCTTTTATCCATCTTAACTATGGAAATATCTTTGTAAAAAGACTTGTTAAATGGCACCTAACTAAAGCTCACACCTTAAAAGATATGAAAAACTGTGAACTTATGTTTGGTGAAATTCGCAAGAGTCGAAAATAGGCTTACATGAATGAAAAATCAACTTTCCGGCCGGCAAATTTTTTTTTCGACAACTTCTTTAAAACCGTTCCAAATACTCAGTCAATGCAACTCAATCAATACTGAAGCCATTCTAAACGGACTCTTGACTCTTAATTGAAGGGTTAGATGTGAGCATTGAGATGAATGTGACGTAACATGGAAACAAGAGAACAAATTGAATTAAAGTAAAAACTACTAGACAGGAATGAGTCATTGAGTTGACTCTAGATGTATACGTTTTTAATTTTTCAAGTAAACACTTCTCTAACAAGTCAGTGAGAGAGGGTTGCCATTCTTGAAATCTGCTTGAATAATCCAATTCAGGATCCTGTGTCTACGTAAACTTGACAAGAGGCTACCAGAAATGGGCCACCAACTTCATCTGGCAAAGCAAGTTCATCCGCAACGATTCACAAATTAAATAAATAATACAAGGTAAAATGCGTTTTCTTTCTATGTAGCTATCTTGTAGCTCCAAGCTTATAGGTTGATTATCTACCAAAAAAACCAGCTTATAGGTTGAGTGCAGATTCTTATCCCATAATGCTAGTATTTTGGATTCATCAAGAAGGAGAAGAAGGAGAGAGAGATGAACAGTTTTCCCTCCGGGTCAGCAGGTTTAACCGGTTAGGTCGATATGGATTAATCCATGATGCCACCGGTGCAAAAAAAAATACTAAAAACACTCAGTAACCCGTTGAATGGGTCAGACAGATCGATGATTCGACTATCTGGGTTGACAATTCATCAAATGAATAACATAGAAGGTTAGAGGTGGACCTGAACTGAGACTGCAAGCCTATAACAAGTCATTGATCCACTTGGCCAGGTCAACAACGGACTCTTCTTCTCTGAATATGTCACTGTAAGAGGAAGTTTGACACAGTACTCATTTTTATGGGAAGAGACTAAACATTTTGATACTTGTATTTTGTAATGGAACCAATTCTTTAGAAATTAGAATATCCAAAATCCTAAACTTTGAAAGAGTATATGTTCTTAATTTATTACTAATGGAGCTAGTTTCACCATATCAAGTGGTTCAATTTTGTATATTCTAAGCATTTTGGTACCCCAATCTGAAACATTAAAGACTGAAATTTTGTATAAATAATCAACACTGGTCATATATAAACACATTGTTATAATAAAGTTAGGTATATTTAAATGTAAAAGAAAAGGCATCCAATATATATTAACAACAGTTTGATTAATTTTTTGTTCAATTCCCCAAAAAATAAATTAATGGGCATTTAGAAAACCTAAGAAAGTCATTATTTTTTCATATATAATATTAAAATACATGGGTAAAATTTGACCAGAAGCCTGAAATTTTGTGAAATATCTGTACCTCATTTAGGTAGGGTTTTGTTCACTGAAACTTCAGTCTCAGCTAATAGTGCCAAAATTTCAATATCTTCTCTTCTCTTCCTTATCTAGGGGAATGTTAGGTTGCAAGTCATTTCAGTGTATTGAGGGTGGCAAAAATGGTGGACAATGACTAACAAAACAGGAAAAAAAAAAACAAGTAATAATAGAGATGGAATGAATTCTGGTTTTATATCTTTCTGTTGTATAGTCCCAGGCTCTGAACTTTTATTCCATGGGACATTGATCATGACATCACGTATGAAAGGTTGCTGTATATAATTAATTCCATTCATCCTATTTCTGCCATGTCAATATTGTACTCACATCTCAAGTATACATTTCACTTCTCTCTCAAAGGAATAGTATTCCTTTAGGCAGTGTTTGGTTTGAAGGAAAAGCTAGGGAAAGGAAGGAAAAGGTAAGGAAACCTATCATTTCCTTCAAACCAAACATTGCCTTAGATTTGTTCTTCTTTCCCTCTTAAACAAAGAAAAGTAAAGAAAATCAATATCAATAGCTGAATATTGACACTTTTTTGCTGCTATGTGCCCGTTTGAGAGGGCTTTCCCCGTTTTTGGTAGCTTCTTGAAACTGCTCAATCAGTATAGAAGCCCTCTCAAACGGGCTTGGATGGGAAT